TAGAATCCGTGGTGAGTTTTTACCCTACACATCGGGATTTTTGGGAAAACATTCAAAATTGTATTTTACCAAATTTGTTCGTTTAAGACGGTCCCAAAAGATTATGACGTCAACTTAGAATTTTGCCTAACAAATGTTTTCTAAATTTTATAAAATAGCATATTCCTGCATGTTTGATTTATGAAGCCGTGTTGAATATTTACTCTTAGTGTCCAGATTTTTGGAAAAAAATCAACATTGTGTAACAATACTTTACAATTTAAATTTAATCAAAATTTCTCCGTCATCTTAAATTTTTACCGAATTTCTTCATATTTATAAGTGTTTTGTGGAGAAAAAACTTCCAAGACAACATCATTTTTTCAAAAGGCCATGTCGCCAGCAAAACTGAAAATAATAATAGTAATAATACTTCTCAAACAACGTCTGTATACAACACCACAGGGCCCGACTTTATAAATTTCCCGGTAGACTCCCATGTCCTCAATCCGACACTGTTAAAAAGTATTCTTTGTTTTTTTAATTTACTTTGTCTCTTTATCCATTTTTTCATAACGAAGAAATTACGTCGAAACGTTATAGTATAGAATAAAGAAAAATTAACCCAATAAACATGAGGAGAAATATAACAATTATATAATACAGAATTTCATTGTTAATCCAAAAACGGAAACCATACAAACCCCTGTGGAAATATTTGAACATAAATAAGAACACAATCCTTGATTCTGATTGCATTTGAAAACTTTAAAAATCCATCAGTTAATTAATTTAAGTAAAAGTGATTTATTAACGGTATACAAAATGCAATTGCATTGATTGCATTATTGTTGAGGCATAATTTAATGCAGTTCTCCAAACTTTTTTAATATTGTTTTTTTAAAGAATGTTTACAATTTTGTTTTCAAAGTCTTCAAAGAAAAGGCGTTTTAAAGAAAATATCTTAATATGTGCTAACGGTGTAGTCGAATTTCAGCATTTTATATTTAAAAATTCTATAAAAAGATAGGAAGCAATGAGTCTTCAATGAAACACCTTGTATACATATTTTTAATTTTATTTATGTACCTAGATAATGAGTTGACATTCCATATTTCTCTAAAAATTGCTTGTAAAAAATGTTCAGTGTACAATGTGTTCCAGATAAAGTTCCTTGGCCTCTTGACAACGGATAGAGGTATTAAAATTCTGTAAACCCCATTGTTGTTAGTTTGAACAGGTGGAGGGATGATATAAAAATACTTCAATATTTTACATTTTCAGTCAGATAAAAAAAATAAAGTTATAATACAAAAAATTGAAGTTGAATGAAATAAAGTAGTAGAACCAGTTTATTTTACAAAAAATTAGTAAAATCTGTCGACGTTCACCGTCACAAAGCTTCTTATTAGTTCGCGATTAATCACGTTTATCACATTTTGAAAAGGCTCAATCACCGCAACAATAAATCTAAGGACCTTATATCAGGGTTGCGAGCTGGCCATTGAGCATGTTTTTTTGACTTAAAAAATTTAACCAAAGAAATAATGCAGTAGTCTAAAATTTCTGAGATATTAAACAATTGGGTTTCAATATCTACATTGACGTTAATATCTTCTGATGTTTGAAAAATGTTCTGTAGCTTTGTTGGCCATTACGCTTGCGTCAGCCGTTTGAAGTTCGCTTCTAACGTATGCGTCATGGCGAACTAGAGCAGAAATTTTAAAAATCACACGGTAGTTTACTGGCCTCTGATGATGCTCCCCATAACATAATGCCGTAAGTGGCTACACTATGGAAATTTGCAAAATATGTTAGCTTGGCGGCTTCATGACATGTTATTTTTCTCACTCTCCTTAGGCAATAATATAATGCAGCAAATTTTACAATTTCTAAATTTTCAGCTTATTATTTTCTTTGTCTTTTCCACCATTGTCTTCTGTTCTCCTTTGCGTTTTATTAAGCAAGAAGTGTCGTCACTTAGAGGCTGTTACGTTTTCAAGTTGATCGTTGACATTTATAGGAACAGTATCGGTCCCAGGACTGATCCTTGGGGCACAGCATCATTGACTTGATGACTTTTTGAAGTCACTCTTTATTTCTACATTTGGCTTCTGTTTCCAATATGATATCAGTTTTTACTGTGTCTTTATTGCCGTGGCTTTCCATAATTTTTTCAAAGAATTGAAGCAGAGCAAGTATTATTTCTGTCTCTGTGGTGACTGGTACTAAACATTTTATTCTTATGAAAATATTTTACTAGTCTTCTTTCGATTGCAACTTCAATAATTTTAGATAGATTAGGTAGCACCCAAACAATCTTCAAGTTTAATGTAGTTTTCTTTTATTTCCTTAGCCGTTTTCGCTCCAATCGTAGAGAAATGGTTGTTGAGTTTATCTGAAGAGATTATAGTGCTAATTTTTCCTTTCTTCTTGCTTGATTAAGAGTACTTCTTTGTTGAAAATAATCCAGATTATTTTTTTTTTTTGTATTTTTGACAATCTGACATCCTTCTGGGTTCATCTTTTTATTGTCTGTATATCTAATAAACATTTTTCTGATTTATCATACTTTTTGAGTTTCTTTATTGTGTCTAGAATCTCAAGTATAGGTAATCGTCTTGTTTTTAAATTTTTTTGTTTGCCAAACGTTTTGGTTTTTAGAATGACTATTTCAGTGAGTATTTTCTTTTCTACTTTTGGAAAATGATTTTCAAATAAATGCAGAAATTGATGGTGGAAGTACGTGTAAGCAGTTCTCGCAGACTTGTCTTCGAATTCAATCCAGCTAATTTGGCTTAATGTTATTTTAAAACTGTGCATTCTAAATTCTGTTATTTTCCTGTATTTAGAATTTAGATATATAGTTAAAACTATTACAACACATGAGTGTTTTACGTAACTTAATTATATCAAAATACCTTAAAAATATATATTTGGAATGTGCCAAATTAAGCTTCTTCCTTCAATCTAAAAACAATGGCGTTTACAAAATTTCAATATCTCGTTCTCAATAAGATATAAGGCCGTGGAATTTTGTACCTGTTTACAAGCTCCGTACAGAGTGAGTCATTAGGGGCGGCTGGTGCCAGGGGGCACGAAGGTGCGTGCCCCCCCAATATTACGAAGTCTACAAACACAGTGAACATAGCAAAATAGTAATTTCCAATAGTTAAAAAATTATTCGGAAGTTTGTGTCATTCATAATTATCAAAACTATTCTTTTAAGTCGCTCCATTGTATCAAATATATCAAAACTTACATCTAAAGATACTGTATCTCGATAAAAACGGAGACCCAGTCGTGACTTATTTACACTTTTTATTTACACCGTTGCCATGGAAACCGCGCCTTTAGTCGTCGTATTCGGCTGGAATCGGGTCAGATTTGAAATAGTGACCGCTAGCAGTATTTCAAATACGTTTGCGCTAGTGAAATTGTTTGATTTTAAATAAAAATAATTAATTCAGTTGAATATTTAATAAAAAATTGTTCTGTCTTACGACCACAAAATTGTAGTGAAAATTTTAGGGAGAGTCGCCCCCGATTTATTAATAAAAAAAATATTCATGGCATAACGAGAGAATTTCATATATATTTTAATAGACATAACATGTATGCTAAATTTTTGTGCAGGTGCGTTTGTGAAAAAAATAATACATATATTAATAATAATAACAATAATAATAAGTTCGTAAGTTTCTCGAACAGTCGGATCATGTCAGTCAGATTAGATTAGCACCAGTAGGTCAGAGTAGTGTAGGTCACTTTCCAAGTGATGCGCGGATAAATGGTCAGTAGTTACGCTAGACTTTTGGGGATGGGGTGAGATTAGAGAATAATAGCAGACTAATTTGTATGCTGTAATTCTAGAATCTCGAAAGTTGTTTTGTTAATCTAATCAATGCATATCATTACTTGGTTTTAATACCCGTAATGATAGAAGTCTTGCCTGAATGCCGGTCATTTCCGGGTCAGTGGTGGGTCGTCATTATAATATTTATTCCTACGGGTAACACCCAATTACAGGAATAATATCAAACTGACTAAACCAATTCATGACAGCAACTAAAAAGTATAATTATTGAAAAAACAAAAGTATCTATAGCTAGTTAAACATTAACCCAAATTTACATATTGTTTTGTTTTGTGTATATCTTCAGTAATGACTAGTAAGTTAAAAAAGGTATGTGGAAAAACACTTGCAAAAAAGTGACTACTATACAGCGTGTTTATAGAAATTATAAAATTTATTTTTTAAGTTGTACCTATTTTCTACAGGGTCTTAGTAAATGATTATTACAAAAGGTAAAATCATCACCGTTTTATTTCATGTTGCTTTCATAAGATTTAGTTCACAATGAAAATAACCGCTCGACGCGCTACAATGATCCTCTCTTGGCTTATGCAGGTCATGTGCATCCAACAAACCATTAAAATATCATTAAATGTTTTGCACAACTAAAAAAAAAAAATGAAATCTGGTTTACTAAATTATTAAGATTAAGAACCAATTAATTATGAATATTTAACAGCTATAACCATAATAACTTTCAATTTTAAATCGGATCGTCTACTCACACCAGAATGTAAATAATAATTAAAATTTCTAGATATGCATTAATGATTTTTAAAAATGTTCATTGTCTTCCACGGAACATGGTCTGACCTGACCTAACTTGACCGCGCCGAAAACAATAAAGAAACCCGGTGATTTCCACATCCAGAGTCCTAATGAATTCATCACTGATACAGATCTAGTCAGTCAACACTATAGTTTTAAGAAATGTTTTTTTTAAGCATCGAATTAACACGGCGTTTAAATTTTGCAAAAAAGCTGTAATACATAAACATCCAACCTATAATTTGCAAATTTGCGGCGGAGCGAGTTTTTTGCCAAAAATTACATACAATTAACCGTTAACATATGTTAATTTGGTGCTACTAAAATGAAGCAATTAGTAACGGCAAAAATGGTCACTTTTTGGTCGCCGCTCTGTGGACTCGAAACCGAACCATACCTGAGTTTCCGTCAGTGATAACGATTGTGCTAGTTGCTTCCGTTCGGCACCTACTACGTAGTGGTTCTTCTCGAAAGCGTGCTCTAGTTTGAGCAGCTGCGACGGACTGAACGCCGTCCGTATTCTCTTTGGTTTCCTGAAGGGCTGGAGGAGGAAGCCCGGTATGTCCGGTCCTGTAACAAACACACCAACTAATTAGTCGCGATAACCGTAATTCCATCAATTCGTACAAATTATTTTTTCCTAAATTATTTACAAGGTAAGAACGTGGTAGCTGCCACCTTTCCACTATAATTATCACCGGCGATTTGCATAAATTTTAAAGTGAAATTGCGGCCATTACACGTGATCGAAAATTTGCATGACATCTGGCATCAAACACAACCGACTCTCTAACAGAAATTTAACAATACGTCCACTATTAATAATGCAATGAACTTGATTTTATTCCGATCTTATGGGAGAAATATTCTCGGTTCAAGTTCAATAAACATGCGTACGAACGGGTCAGGCTAATTATCTGTTACATATTGCTTACAACACAATTATGTCATGTCGAGGCGACTCGTTAAACTTTCCTATTTCTAATAAAATACCGAATTTATTGACCATCACGATTTTTATGCGAATTTCAGGTGTACAGGCGATAAAAACATAAAAACGAAAATTCCTGAATATTTATCACTTTATGTGTATGGTAATCAGACTAAATTATAATTTTCTCGAACAAAGACCCGGCTAATGAGAGTGAACGTCCAACTCTTAAATTATCATCGCCGAGCTACGAGATACTTTTAAGAACAGGCATTAGATGTTGAAAGGGTGTTTACATTTAATTGAACAACGCATTAGAATCCTGGTGAAAGCGGGCAATTTATAAATATCGCGAGCTCAGAGGCGCCGAATGGAAGGGTGAAAATTGTAGTAATTGCCGCGAGATTAGCGGGCAACTGGCTCTTGACCCCCACGCCACAAAGAAAATTTCCGATTAGAACAACTGTATTTCCTGTTTTTAATACGCGCCTTATTTATTTAAATAGATTATAAATAGACCGTGGCCTGGAGGCTACCCTTGGGCGCATTCTGCTTCTGATCACTTGCTAGCCACTTAGATATTTTCGCCAATATTTCAACAGCTGCCTTTAATAATAATAATAATAATGTAATCAATAGTAAACAAATACAGATAAACATACATAAATGAGTTCAATAAATTCACAATTTAACAATAAACAAAATATTGTTTAACTTATTAAATTATCAATCCCGCAAATATTTTTTTTAAACCGCGTTTAATTTAGTTACATCGTAAACAACAGTAATTCGTTTTCCCGTGACCACCAAATGCATTTAATTACAATACAGATTAATGTTGAACGTAATCGTGCGACTGACACTTAAATGTTTGTAAATAATTTATGCAAAAGACGTCACTGCGTGCTAGTACCAGATCACTAAACTAGCGGCTATAATTCCAGTGAAAATATAATCTATATAAAAAGCGAGGATCTAGAATCCCCACATTCCGCCCATTCGCGCCGCCTCTGATCGTAACTGCCGAGCGCCTAAATGTGCGCGCCGTAAATATTTGTCCCGAATTGCATTAAATTTAAAATTTATTAGACAAGTGGACGGTAAAAAAGCGTGAAAGTTATTATAAAATAGCCCCGGCTAAGTAAGATTAAAATCAAACATCCTGAAACGAAAATAAAATCCAAGTAGACTCACTCAAAACATAAACATGATTTTATAAATTCGTCGATGGTATCGTGGAAAATAATAATTACTAAAAGTTGAAAGTTTCGAGAGCTGAAATCTGGTGATAAGTCGGCACGTAATAAAAATAACGCAGCGCCTGAAAATGGGTAAGGCTGAAATATTATCGCTTGAATATTCAAATTTATTGACGTAATCTCATCACACGACTGAAATTTTTAACGCGTTTCCTGTGTTTACATGGAAATGGCTTTATTAGGAATAGTATTAAAATTAATTAGGGCGAAGTTTCGACGGAACAAAGAGTTATACGGTGGGCGGAGTTGGTGGTAATTGAGTTTGAGGTTTTGATGGTGTTTGTTGAAGGTAACACGAGTTGAAAATTGTGGAGATGGTTATCAGTGAGAAAGTGGTTTATTCTGTGGATGCGGTGTTGAAGTTATGTGTGGACTAATGTGCTAATTACTGGTAGAGTAATAAAGGAAGAAATTAACACCGGTGTCCAGCTGGTCACACTTCAAATGAGTTGAAAATTAAAATTGAGCTGAATTTTATGGAAATTTTACGTGAGTTTCACATTAAGCTTTTAATATCTTAAGCACATAAGTGGTTTTTTACGAACCGTATCACTGCTTGCTCTAAATGCAACCAGTAATTCTTCCTAAAATCTATCTGAGCTAAGATCACTAAAAACTGTATTACGATTTAACGTTGAAATTACAAAACCAAATGTTTAAAATTTTCAATTATAAAAAAATGCATTTACATTTTGCCTTTTTGTTTTAATATGTGTATATTTCTTTCCACAACAAGAAACTTAAAACATGTTAAAAATGGTAAATTTGTATAGGGAAATATCGATTTTGCAATTAAGCCCCGCCCCTCGGTCTGACAACGAATGAAAAATTTATTACGGCAAAAAATCGACACGGATGGGTGGGGCTTCTCTTTTGGTTTTCTTTTTTAATTAAAACATTTAGTTTTCTTTGTATAATACGATTACGTAATTTCTTGTAGAAAAATAAGGATTTTTCAATTAAGCTCCGCCCCTCGGCTTACGACGAATAAAAAAAATCATCAGAATTGAGATAGGGCTGGTTGGCGGGTTTATTTTTACCTTTTTTTTTTTCTTAATATTCATAGCCATATTTTCATAACAAGAAACTTGAAAGATGGTTAAAATGGTTTTTGCAAGGAAATCGATATTTCCTTATACAAATTTTCCATTTTTGTAACATATTTTGTTTCATGTTGTGAAAAGAAGTCTACACATATTAAAACAAAAAGGCAAAATTTAAGACCACCCGCCCGCCCTATCTCAATTGTGATTAATAAAATTCTTTTTATTCGCCGTGAACCAAGGGGATGGAACTTAATTTCAATATACATATCTACATATTTCTTTACAAGAAATTAAAAACATGTTTTTTAGTATGGTGTTGTTCAAAGAATACTACGCATATTAAGAAAGAAAGGCAAAATATAAACCCCGCCCACCCACCCCATCTTAATTGTGATGATTTTTTAATTCTTAGAAATTTAAAACACGTTTAAAATGGTAAATTTTTGTAAGGAAATATGGATTTTGCAATTAGGCTCCGCCTCTAGGTCTGGCAACGAATGAAAACTTCATTACTATTTAGATCAGGGCAGGTATGGGTGAGGTTTAATCTTTGCCTTTAATTTTTTCTTAATATATTCTGCTCAAACAAATGTGTTGCATGGTAATTTCTTGTAGAGAAATCATAAGAAATTTTGCGTTTAAATTCTAAAAAAATCGCGACAATTAAAAAAAAATCATCACAATCGAGATGGGGCTGGTGGGCGGGGCTCATATTTTGCCTTTTTTTCTTCATATACATAGCCATCTTTTCATAACAAGAAACTTACAACATGTTTAAAATGTAGACAAATATGGATCTTGCAATTAATGCCCGCCCCTCGATCTGACAACGAATGAAAAATTCATCACAATTGAGAATCGAGATCGGGGTGGGAATGGGTGGGGCCTAATATTTGGGTTTTTTTTTTCTTAATATACATAGTATTCTTTGAACAACACGATACTCAAAAACATGTTTTTAATTTCTCGCAGAGAACTAATAAGGATTTTGCATTTAAGCTTCGTCCCCTTGGCTCACGACGAATAAAAAAAATCATCACAATTGAGATAGGGCGGGTGAGCGGGGCTACATTTTGCCTTTTTTTCTTAGTTTGTGTAGACTTATTTCGACAACAAGAAACTTAAAACATGTCTAAAATGGTAAATTTTTGAAGTAATCAATTTAAATCCTCCACTTTTCTTCTACAACCCCTTTAAATATGGCAAAAGTTGAACATCAAATTTACTATTAACGGCAACTTGGCAACTGAGTTTATAAATGACAATTTTCAGCTCTAAAAGCAACTGCAACAGGAAGTTTATAAATCCCACTGCTAACGTCATCAAAAAAAGATGTTCATGGAATATTTCCAAATCTTACAAAAATCTACGATGAATTTTCTGCGGAGAAAATAATTTTGGAAATTTTAGGCGACTAAACAATCTTTCCATTTTATCAATTGAAAAAGAGAGGAAAGTAAATTTTGATATCGTCATAGAATATTCTGCCAAAATAAAGACCCGTAAGCACGTTTAGTAGCTTTATTTTCTCCGATTTACGATTTCAGAAATATGTATGTATAGAAAAATTGTTTAGGTATAGTGGAAATTTAAAAGGAAATATTCTTTAATAAACGTCTGTTTAATAATTTTTTGGCATGACGTCACCAACTTAGCGGAAGGGATGAACAAATAAAATTGAATTGACATTCTGCACTCACTAAATGAAAAATGTTTAAGGGGAATATAAATATTAACCACATAGATAGAACAAAAGGGATTAAAATTTTACTGAAGAAAATAATACCTATAGGATATATTGAAAAATGAAGGGTCCGTGGATACTCCAGTGCTCTTAAATCGATAATGAGAAGAAGTACTGGTGAAAGTAATATACTGGATGGTAACTATAACAAGAAAAAATATGAAAGTGCAGAAGAAAGTAGTGAATAACAGTTTTGTGTGCACGCAAGACATTTCCTAAATTAAATCGGAACAGAAATAAACCTAACAACGGATCAGATGACGCAATAAAGTTAAAGAAGCCAAAAATAGCAAGACAAGTGAAAACTTCGCAAAAGCAAAAAATCTATAATAAACATTTTAGAAACAAAAAACCAAAATCCCGTATTTATATCTAAGTTTCTCACGATTTTTTCCACACAACATAATTAACCCGTCAAACGCCTCCAAAATCAGCACACTCTTGTTACACTAATACATAATAGCTCCCTCCTTAATTTCCTAATGAACCCGCTTAATTCACCTGTCAACCGTTTAATTTGACATTTATACATGAAAACTTTCACTAAATCACCAACCCAAACCGACCAATTTAAAGACACTTCACAACGA